ACCCTGAGACAGGCTGGGGAAGCATCACACGGCAGGAGGGCAGCAGGGGACCACCCTGGGTCCCCTGTCCATAGCCACACAGACGCCGTCCAGGGCGGCCACAGTGTGGTTCCTGGGGAGGAGGAGAGGGGGCGGCGTGGCCGTGACCGTGGAGGTGCTGGCGCCTCGGGAAGCGCACACAGTGAGCAGAGTCCCGAGGGGAGGCCGCCTCCCGCTCCCCGAGCCCCAGGCTTAGGAAAGGAGAGCCTGTGTCCATTGTCCCTCCACCGCCGGCAGCGACCACTGAGCACAGGCCACATGTCTGGTGGGTCTGGAGGCTGGAGCCCAGGACTGACCGTGACCCCTGCCCGCATGGAGCCTAGTTCAGTGGGAGCAGCTCAGGGTTTCCTCCCTCAGCTGCTCTCCGCTCCCCCCCACCCCCCACCCCCGCACTGCAGCGCCCAGCGAGGAGGCCTGGCCCCCAGTTTGGTGAGGAGCCGGTCTGGCTCCGTCTGCTCTCGCTGCTGTGTCCTCTTCTTTGTCAGCATTGCGTTCCTTGTCTGCACGTGAGATGGGTAACCAGGCACATAGCACCCCAAGACCGGGCTCCGTCCCTGAGGCTGATTCACCCGAGGAGGCTTGACTCAGGCAGAGGCCCGGGCTGTTTGCCACTTCCGGCCAGCGGGTGGAGTGCACCCACTCTACCACCCACCACGCTACCACCCACATGGAGCCTAGTTCAGTGGGAGCAGCTCAGGGTTTCCTCCCTCAGCTGCTCTCCGCTCCCCCCCACCCCCCACCCCCGCACTGCAGCGCCCAGCGAGGAGGCCTGGCCCCCAGTTTGGTGAGGAGCCCGGTCTGGCTCCGTCTGCTCTCGCTGCTGTGTCCTCTTCTTTGTCAGCACTGGGTTCCTTGTCTGCACGTGAGATGGGTAACCAGGCACATAGCACCCCAAGACCGGGCTCCGTCCCTGAGGCTGATTCACCCGAGGAGGCTTGACTCAGGCAGAGGCCCGGGCTGTTTGCCACTTCCGGCCAGCGGGTGGAGTGCACCCACTCTACCACCCACCACGCTACCACCCACCACACTACCACCCACCTCGCTACCACCCACCACTCTACCACCCACCACGCTACCACCCACCACACTACCACCCACCTCGCTACCACCCACCACGGTACCACCCACCTCGCTCTACCGCCCACCTCGCTGTACCACCCACCACGCTGTACCACCCACCACGCTCTACCGCCCACCTCGCTCTACCGCCCACCTCGCTCTACCGCCCACCTCGCTCTACCGCTCACCACGCTCTACCACCCACCACACTCTACCGCCCACCTCGCTCTACCACTCACCACGCTCTACCGCTCACCTCGCTCTACCGCCCACCTCGCTCGCCCACCTCGCTCTACTGCCCACCACGCTCTGCCACTCACAATGCTCTTCCCTCTACCCCCCACCACGCTCTACCACCCACCTCGCTGTACCACTCACCACGCTCTACCACCCACCACACTCTACTGCCCACCTCGCTCTACCGCCCACCATGCTCTACCGCCCACCTCGCTCTACTGCCCACCACGCTCTGCCACTCACAATGCTCTACCATCTACCACCCACCACGCTCTACCACCCACCTCGCTCTACCACCCACCACGCTCTACCGCCCATCACGTTCTACCGCCCACCACACTGTACTGCCCACCTCAGCCGTTGTCTTTTGTTGGGGCTTTGGCCCGTCCCTCACCCCTGTCTGCCCTTGACCCCAGTGTGACGAGAGCCCAGCCCTCTGCCCCTCTGGGGTCGTGGCCCCCCCTGGGGATGACGTGAAGCGGGAGGTGTGGGGGCTGCACACCCTGGCGAGGGGGACCGCCGCTTGGGAAGTGACGGGCAGTGGAGGTCATTGCTTGCCAAGGGCAGTGTTCCCGCTGGCGTGGCGTCTCCCTGAGTCCCCTCAGGGGACAGTTATTGCCAGGCTTCTGCTCTTAGAGACAAAGCTGTGTGGGAGTCTGTCCAGGACGCCTTCTGGTCTGAGCTCTTCTTTAGCAGAATCTCGGGGAGGGTTCAGGTCTCTGGGTATCTCGTGGGCCTGGCGGTCTGGCCTCCCAGTGGCTGATTGCCGGGTCTCCCCGCTCCAGCTCCACGTCGCCGCCTTCCCGCCCTCAGCCCCCTTGCTGTTGCCTCACTCCGCCACCTCTGCTCCTACGTCCGGCTGCCCAGGCCCAGGGGAGCCGCCTGGGTGTCGCCTGCACCGCAGGGACACGTCACCCTGACCACACACTGGCTAACGAGTCCTGTGGCCCCCCTGCCCCAAAGGAGCGGGAAGGAAGGAGAACCGATTCCTGTGAGCAGTACTTGTGGGGGAACATGACCCTGACCGCCCCCACCCCCGGGGGAGTAGAAGGCGCAGGCAGAGGCCTGTGGACGGTGGCAGACCCCGCAGACAGGGCTTGAGGAAGGCAGGGCCAGGCTGGCGGGGAGGGAGGTGTGGCCGAGGCTGTTGCGGCTCATCCAGCCCCACCAGGGACGCACCTCCCATCTTCAGCCCACGTGACGTCGCTCGTGGAGGAGCCGGTGCTCCCGTTCTGTTGATGGGAAGACACGCGGGTCCCAGAGCGGCCACGTGGAGCTGGGATGGGCACTCAGGTCTGCCCGGCTCGAAGTCTGTTTTCCCCGTTTCCGTCCCACATGCCAAGCTGCTCACATGACTGTGCTTATCGGCCGGGGGTCAGTGCAGCGGAAGGAGTGTGACTGTGGGGTCTGCTGCCCCTCAGAGCGAGCGCCCCACCACCTCCCGGCCCTCGTTCCCAGCACCAGCAGGAGCCCCGCCCCCACCTCAGCCACCTTCGCTGAGGCCGGATGGAGGCTGTCAGGTGAAATGGGCTATAAATACTAAAATGTCAGGGAGCCCCCAGGCCACTTGTCCATTTTGCCTGTTTCTCGTGGGGAGATCCAGAGTTTCAGACTAGTTGCCTTGTGCGTTTCTAAAGGGTTGATGAGGCGGCGTGGCTCAGTGGTTGGGCCTCGACCTAGGAACCAGGAGGTCACAGTTTTTTTGGTTTTTTTTTAAATATACTTTATTGATTTTTCACAGAGATGAAGGGAGAGAGACAGAGAGTCAGAAACATCGATGAGAGAGAAACATCGATCAGCTGCCTCCTGCACATCTCCTACTGGGGATGTGCCCACAACCCAAGTACATGCCCTTGACCGGAATCGAACCTGGGACTCTTCAGTCCGCAGGCCGACGCTCCATCCACCGAGCCAAACTGGTTTCGGCAAGGGGGTCACAGTTTGATTCCTGGTCGGGGCACATGCCCAGGTTGCAGGCTCGATCCCCAGTGTGGGGTGTGCAGAAGGCAGCTGATCAGTGATTCTCTCTCATCAGTGTTTCTCTCTCTCCCTTTCCCTTCCTCTGAAAATCAACAAAAACATATTAAATACGGTAAAAAATAATAAAAAGGGTTGATGAGCAAATAGGTGTATTTCACATGAGTCTTTTTCCTTTTGTGTATTCAGAACCCACCTTGACCCTTACCCCACTTCCTGCGTTTTCAGCCATTTTAAGAGAAATAGGGGAGGATGGAGAAGAGCTCACAGTACGTGAGGGCTTATTCCACAGGCCCGGCTGCCGCACCGCACTCACACCGCCGCCAGGCGCTGCTTAATAAGAGCGCATCCTTGAGATGCCTCTCGGCAGGGCTGTGCTGTTTGGGTGGGTGAGGATGCCGAGCTCATTAGGGAGGCGACGAGATGAGCCTGCTTGTCAGTGGGAAGAGGGAGGCTCCTGGAAGTGGCTCCTTGCCCCCCCACACCGAGAGCGTTAATGGGCACCAGCTGGGCCTCCCTGCGCACTCCGTGGCCTGGCGGGCGGCAGAGCGCCTCGTGTGGGCTCCGGCACACACTTCAGTGCCCGTTCCCTAGGCAACGGCACCACGCAGCCAGCTGGCTCTGCCCCCAGCCCATCAAGGCGCACACCCGCCAGGCGCCGGTGCTGCGCCCTCGGCCCACGGCCGTCTGTAGCTCTGCTGTGGGAGCACTTGCAGTCGGGTTTCAAGGTGAAACACGGGGGAATGAGCGAGACGGCTGACAGACAGGGACCGCCATCGGGTGTGTGGCCGCGGGCAAGGTGCCGGGAGGAAGATTGGAAATGCGTAGCCAGTGGGAGCCTGTGGGGCTTTGTGTTGGCTCCAGACAAAAGGTCCACCTGCCTGACCCCTTGGTCCAGAGCAGCCCTTAGCACAGTGGTTCTCAACCTTCCGGCCCTTTAAATACAGTTCCTCATGTTGTGACCCAACCATGACATTATTTTCGTTGCTACTTCATAACTGTAATGTGGCTACTGTTATGAATCGTCATGTAAATATCTGATATGCAGGATGGTCTTAGGCGACCCCTGTGAAAGAAAGGGTCGTTTGACCCCCCAAGGGGTCGCGACCCACAGGTTGAGAACCGCTGCCTTAGCAGGTCCAGCGCTGTGAGCAGCAGGGCAGGCACGCGGGCCGCCCCCCAGGGCCGTGCGGAGGAGGCTGCGGGGGCGGGGCCAGTGGGCCAGGAGGGTGCGGGGGCGGGGCCAGTGGGCCAAGCAGTGGATATGCGCCCCCCCCCCTGTCCAGCAGGGGCCAGGACCACAGTGTTGGGGGGCTGCCCTCCAGTTCCGGGAACTGAGCTGATTTGCCCGGGGTTCCCCCTTCACACGCAGCTGCACTGACGGGCGTGTGCTGGTTATTTTTTTTTTCAATGTTGATATAAAATTTGAATTTTTGAGCAGTTTGTCTTGTAAAGCATTCTGGTATTTGAACTCGGACTTCCCATCAGACACTAACGCCACTTAAACCCCGGCGCAGGCCCAGTGCTCTGCTTCCCGTGGGCTGCCACGCTCGGCCTGGACTGGGGGCGGCTTCTGAGCGGGATTCTGCCCGTCTTCCCGCTGAGCTTGCAGCAGACGCAGACGCAGAGGTCTCTAAAAATAGCCTCGGATCCTGGATTCAGCCGCCCTGCCTCAGGCCTGCAGCCGCCCCTCCCCTCCGCCTGACC